GCCCATTATCCTCCCCGTCCCTGGAGAAGGCACTGGGCTCAAAGCAATGTCCCTGCCTGGTGCCCTTGGGGTGGCAGAGATGAGCAGAGTAACAGAGACTGATGGAGGGTGACCTGCAGCTGCTGGAGGGAGCAGCCTGGATCTGAGCAGAGCAGAAGGATGTCCCAAGGATGGAAGGAAAGAGCAAGGAGACCAAGAAAGATTATATCACCCATGCTGCCTGCATGGAGACCCCCCAGCTTACCTTTGCAGGCCTTGCGGTCTGCGATGGACTTGCTGAGGTCCCGGTAGAAGCCCTCCTTGCAGTAGTGGCAGTGCCGCCCTGCGGTGTTGTGCCGGCAGTTGAGGCAGACGCCGCTTCCTGCCCGAGAGCTTGTACAGCTCCAGGTTGAAGCGGCAGCGGCGGGCATGCAGGTTGCAGTTGCAGGCTGCGAGGGAAGGGGAGAGGGTGAGGGCTGGTGGTGAAACCTGGGAGCCCTGGGTGTGCTGGAGCTGCTCCGGTGCCCTCTGCTGCTGCTGGGGCCTGGGGCTGCCTGTGCCGGGCGAGCGGGATGGGTAGGGCACGGCACAGCACAGCTGGCCCCAACGTGCCGTCCAGATGTGCAGTATCCGCTGCCCCATGGGGCCGGGGCTGGGAGGTCAGGGCAGAGGAGAAAGGGCACGTGTAGGATCGGGGCACTGCTCGGCTGAAGACAGGCAAGTGTGGGGTGGAGGGGTGCAGCTGGGGGGGCTGGCAGCACCAGCCAAGCACCTGCAGCCCTGCCGTCCTCCCTGCCCCTTCCCCAGCAGCTGGCTTTGGTGGCAGAGCCCAGCCAGCCTTTCGGGCAGGACCACCTGCCTCGTGCCAGGGCGTGTGATGGCATTGCCCCTGCTGCCTCATGGGGTGCCATCCTCCGTGTGTGCAACGGAGCCCCCACATTCCTTATATTTAAGGCTCTACCCTGCGTGCATGCGCACACATAAACGTGCACCAGCACACACAAACGTGCTCACGTGCACGCAACCATGTGCACCTAAGCATCCACACCCCGTTACATGTGCGCACACGCATGCACGCACACAGCAACATCCACATATAGTTACACACACGCACACACGTTTGCACAAACACGCATCCAAACACACATGCGCACGTACGGACATCCATGCTCGTGCTCACACGTGTGCATACACACACGAATAAGCGTGCACAGATGCTTGCACACGCGCACGCTCCTGCAAACACACACAGAGGCTACTTTTTCATTAGCCACAGGTACCGCGCAGCCCCCCTGCCCCATCCCACGTGTGCCAGATAAAAAGGCAAAGCAACCCCCGCTCCTGCTTCACACTCTCGCAAAAAAAAAAAAAAGATAATGGGAACAAGATTTCCTTCGGCAAAACGCGGCGCCCTCCTCCCCCAGCCCCGGCCCCCTCCCCGCGCCGGTAAATTGAGGTTGGGTGAGAGTTTTTCCAGGCGTACTGTGAAATTCATTAACGTGTCAGCCCAGATTTAACTGCTCAGGCCTGGCTCGGCGGTCGTGTGAAGTCGCCTCCCCGCCGGCCGGCAGCGCCGGTGGGAGCTTCAGCCCGCGCAGATCAAACGCTCCAGCCCCGGAGACGCTGGGGGAAGAAAGTTGGAGCAAACCTCAGCCCTAAAAAAGGGCCTTTTTGGAGGCTTAACTGAGCGCAGAAAAAGGTTGGTGCCCGCCCCAGCGCTGCTGGCACCACGCGCTCAAGCCTCAGCTGCCCCCGGGGCTCCCCCGCGTTGCGAGATGAGTGTAAAAATCACATGGCGGGCATCAAAACAGCACTCCGGCGTGGCGGTAGGTGCCTCTGGGGGCTTGTGCCTCTTGAGCTCATTTTTCTTCCGTGTTGCCATTGAAAAATACGGACTTTCGAGGCAAATTCTGACACGAGGCTGGGTGCTGGGACGTGGCGCCTGGAGGGAGAGCAGCAAATACTGCCCATGGTCCCAGGATGCTGCTGTGCCGGGGATTCTGACACTCGGCCAGGTTTTGCCGGAGCCAGGAGAGATGCAGTGAAGCACCCCGACATCCAGTCTGCTCTGGCACTCACCAGATAGCGGGACAGGGACAAGCTGGGGTGGTTCACGCTGCTCAACCAAGGTACCAACATGGAACTGTGGCAAAGGAGGAACTTTTTGGAGGTGGAGGAGCCCCGTTGTTCCCTTGCATCACTGAAAGGCCAGTTGGGTCACCCCAAAAGGCAGCTTTGCTGTCCTCCTGAGAATGCTTGGGGCCACCCCCAGGAACCCTCCGGCATCCTCAGGGGAAGAAGAGAGGACGGCAGCCCAGAAGAGAGGTGATGGGCAGCAGAGGAGAAAGGTCAGGTAAATGATTCGCCACCCTCAGCGCGGGTTTCTCTCTGCCTCCAGTTTAATTAGTGAGAGAGTAACTGGCCGGGCCCTTTTCACGGCATCACCGACCCTGCCCTGCCGTGTGGGCCCTCCCAGCTGGCACATTCCCATCAGCCCCAGGGCCACCTTTTCCTGGGAACATGCTGCAGATCCTCCCAGGAGACAACTTCTGGGAGGAAGCCTTCTCCTGCTGCCCAGCATTGTATCCCCTGCCCATGGGCAGCAATGCTGCCCGCTCCAGGTTACTGCTCCCAGCCGGGGTGGCCATCAGCGAACTGCCACCGGCTGGG